CCAACCCCGGCCCGGCCCCGCACCCCTGGTCGTACCCTCATTTCCACAGGCTTCTCCCCGCTCGGCACCGGCCTGGCAGCGGATCGCGACAGTCAGGTGGCTGGCTGGGTCGGAGGCGCCGTTCGGTAGGCCCGTGGCGCCGGAGATGGTACGGCGCCCTTTCCCTCCTCTGGCTCCCCCTTCGCGGGCGGGTAAGGCGGCCTGGGGGTTTGGTTCTATAGTGCCGTGTTTTGTGCTCACGTTCCGAATTTCCCCCCGTTATGTAGGGCGGTCTGTACTTCTAAAAAACTTCAATCCCGGGGCATCAAGGATACTTAATTTTATCTCCAGAGGTTACCATAACACTGCATGAATCCTTATTATGTATTACCGGTTTAGATCTTGTAGAATATTGTTGCAGAAAAGTGGCTTCCCTGCACCTAAATCACTAGTCATAGTAGGAATAATAGGTATTGTGTCTTTCTCTGTAGGAAACTAGCTCTCATTTATGTGGTAGGTGGTGCAACCACAACATGTGAAAAAGATGCCAGAGAGCACTGGTGGAGGCAGGTGAGGTGTTCAGCTACTGCTCATGTTCAAATAAAGCCCGACAAGAAATTGTAAGAAATTTGGGTAATCATGCGGTGTGCAAGAGACAGCTGAACATTCTTACCACCACAGATTCCGTCACCTGATCTGTGGTGTTCAATCTTTAATGTCAGTTTAGCCATTATATTGGTCAAGTATCATTGTCAGCGTTTATGTAATCCAACAGCAGCGTAAAGGACCTATTTGCAACACTAAGGGTTATTCACTCACATGACAATGACATTTTATGGGGCAGAAGGGGGTCTGTACTGATCCCACTGAAAAGTGGTACTGGGCTCCTCACCTATTCTCACAAACATTCTTCCTCAAAACCGTATCACAACCAGCACATCAACAGGAGGAGAAAAACTTTTACTGCTTTCTAAGACAGGGCCCTGTGCCCCGTTCCCCAGACGTTGTTCCCACGCTGACCCTAAGATACTAAGATACATGCTTAATTCTTCCAGACTAGGTAAAAGTGAGCAAGAAACCTGTCAAGCACTGGCACTGTTGCTCTCAGCTGTTTGATCCAGTTCACCTTTTCACCTCCTTATTTGCCCATGCCAAAATGCTCATGCAGATACACTAAACATAGATGGGAGAGTCAGTCTGATGTCCTAGATGTCTCTGAGTAATGGAAGCATGCCAATATACACCTATTTGCCCCAAACAACACATGTTCTTCTGCTGCCCTGCCAGACGCTGTCTCAGGCTTCTATCAAAGATGCTGCAGGTTCCTCACTTAACATAAATTCTATCTCCAGTCCTTCTGGCAGATTTGAGGCAATTTTGGTACTAAGATGTCGCTCACTTGTATGTGCTGTGCTTTTCCTTTCAGGTCCCCAGATACAGGACTCCAGGAGCCTGCATCAATCCAGCCTTGCTGCACGCCACTTTCTCAGTGCCAATGCCAGATGGCTGCCGCCACAGCGGAATGCTGTGTCTCCTCCTGCCAGAGGGTCTCATCTGCAATACAGCAGCCACTGCTCCATTTGTTGCCTATTGAGAGAACAAACTGATTTTAGAAGCCACATTCTCAATGAGTCGATTAAAACCATTGCTTGGGCTCTGGAACAAAACAATCACCCTCTCGTTCAAAACCATGGGCTCATGGCATCCCTTTTATTTACATGCCTCCGGTACCACAGCAATTGGAAAAATCCTTCACACTTCTGAGCAGCAAAGATTTGCAACCCTAAGGATGAAGGGCAGGAACAAGGGAAGGAAGGTCCAGCCAGGTGTCACAGCTGGTAAGAGAACATGAGCAGGCTGCCTGCCAAAGGGATCAGACAGATGGGGCAAGACACTGCGGTTGCCGGGAGGAGCCATTACCATCAGCAGTAGTTGTAGTAGCACCAGCTACTGCTCGCCCAGCTTCTAGTGCTCAGGGACAGCTAATTGAGCCGACACTGTGGCTGTCAGACCACCCACAATTGTTTGCTGCCTTTTTTGCTCAAGCCCCATGGTCAACCATCCTTTCAGTGACCACACAAGAACACCGTGCAACAGGCTGTGCTCCCGCTAGCCTCAGTGTCCCCCACCATCCATGTGCTAGAGAGCTTTGCGAACACTGAGCAGATGAATGGAGCATTTAAGAGCATTAAAATGCTTCTTGTTCCACCTGGGCACGGAGAGCCAGTTATATTACTAGTACCAGCAGGCAGTCGTGGCCATTGCATATGATGATTTTTCCCTGTGAATGTTTGAGCCATTAAACTCACGTTTATTCCATGTTCAATTAAATAAAATTGTCTGCTCAGAACTTAGAAGCATTAACTCTTACACCATTTAGCACAGTTTGTTCACTTGGGATGGTGGGACAAGGCGCTCTACTCCTTCCCAGGGTAACCACAATGGAGAGAACAAAAGCAATTCCTGCTGTGCATTCATCTATCAGCATCCTTTGGGCTTTAGACAAAATAGAAACCACAAATCTCCTCTCCTGAGTGAGCTTACACATAAATTGTTGTAATGTAAAGATACTCATTTACTTTGTACTAATTTAACCCAATGGCATTCAAAAGAGCGAGTTTTGGTGATGAATACCTACTGCTATGAATCTGCGCTGTTCCCTCCTACCATCTCTGGGTGCGAGATGTTTTGCATCCATTAAACTCTTTTGTCAAGTCTTTCCGAAAAGCAGCTTCTGACAGCTTATTCATCTCTTTGCTCCTTTACAGCTCCCTGTTAGGTTCACTTTCATTTGCCAGCAGACCTCATTATTTGACTTGCTCAGATCAGGACCATTCCTCTGTTTCTCGGAAACCTCTCACTATCCTCATAATCCTTTTCTCCGAGGTAAACATTAGCTCTGGTCGAGTGAAATTCTATGTGAACCACCAACAAAGAGTATGCTGATCTGTCTCTTGAAGAATGGGGTTTCGGTTGTGTGATGTTGGGTCCTTGTTTTTCTTTTTTCATCTTAAAATTCATTTTAAAACATCTTACAGTTAGGTTCAGTGGCTTCGTTAAGTCATTCAGTGACCAACCTGGAACTAGCAGCTTCTTTTTCAAGCACAACACAATTCTTTTCGGGGGGGATACAAAGTCTGTACCAAACAGACACACTGTGAAAGTTGTTCTGTGCTTGGAGGCCACCACTTCAGAACACCCAAATGCCACATGAATCCTGGAGTAAAGATTGATCTATACTCAGTGACCCTAAGAGGGAGAGGCCTGATGAGTTATCAAGTTATTTTGTCTGCAGAGGGTCCTGCACATGCCCTCCTCAAGCTATCCCTCCACTTCCTACAGAACAGCAGATAACCTGCTCTTATACAAGCAAAGAAGTCAAGGAAAAGCTATGCTTCCTTCAGGAGGGCCAATGCCAGTTTTCCCTCTTCCCTTGAACTCTTCCTGTACATGTATTCCAGGTACACAAGAGCTTTTGCTCCTTTGTTAAATCCAAAAGAAACTCTGCTTTCCACAACATTTATGATATCACAGAATCATCTAGGTTGGAAAGGACCCTGGAGATCATCTAGTTCAACCGTTCACCTAGCATAGTTCCTGCCTAACACAGTTCCCTGCCTTAAGCTCTAAATTGACCCTACTCTTGAAAACCCCCAGGGATGGGGACTCCACCACCTCCCTGGGCAGCACATTCCAACACCTAACAACCCGTTCTGTAAAGAAATGCTTCCTAATATCTAGTCTGAACTTTCCCTGGTGCAACTTGAGGACATTCCCTCTTGTCCTGTCACTTTCTACTAGGCTAAAGCGGCTCAAACCCAGCTCTCTGCAGCTTCCTTTCAGGTAATTGTAGAGGGTGATAAGGTCTCCCCTCAGCCTCCTCTTCTCCAGACTAAACAGTCCCAATTCCCTCAGCCACTCCTCATAGGATGTGTGCTCCAGACCCTGCACCAGCTTTGTTGCCCTTCTCTGGACATGTATGAGTAACTCAATGTCCTTTTTGTAGTGAGGGGCCCAAAACTGAACACAGTAATCAAGGTGCAGCCTCACCAGCGCCAAGTACAGGGGCAAGATCACTTCCCTGTCCCTGCTGGCCACGATATTTCTGACACAAGCCAGGATGCCATTGGCCTTCTTGGCCACCTGGGCACACTGCTGGCTCATATTCAGCCGGCTGTCAATCAATACCCCCAGGGTATCAGTTGAAGAAGTAAATTTTTATTTCTGTAGATACCCTGTCATACCAATAAGGTTTATGGCCTTATGGTATTGAACACAATTTAAATACATAGTAAGGCAGAAAAAAAGAAGGAAGTTCAAACAAGGTGAGGTGCATTTCAATTATACGTTCTTAATGCTTATGGTAAGAAGAGCTTACCACGTAAATTACACCGCCCTAGCATCCCTGAAATGCCAACTGAGTAGGCGTAAGGAAGTTGGTGGGAGGCTAATACAAAGTAAGAACATAAAGAAGTCTCATATATGCCAGTTTGCACACCATCTCCATATCTGGCCCTTAGCATATTGTCATATGACTTTAATAGCCCAGATAAATCAGTTCCTGGACCTGGATTCACCAGACT